GTAGCAGAGGCAAGAGGAGCAGCAGCAGCAGCAGCAGCAGGAGAAGTGGCGACGGCAGCATTGGTGTCCCCTTGTTGCTTCAGTGCTTTGCCCACGTCGCCTGTTTCTCCCTCTCTCGCCCCTCTCGCCCCTCTCGCTCCTCTCGATCATCCCGCTCCGCGCTTGTTTCCCCGCCCTCGCGCCTCCCCGCGCGCTGTTAAACCCCGAACCCCGCCGCGCGCTTCACCCCACGCCTGTGCGGATCCCTTCCGCCATCCCACGGCAGCAGCTTCCGCCAGTGCGCACCATTCCCCGCAAGCGCTTCCGCCGCCCGCTTCGCCGCGCCCTCCCCGCGCCCTTGGCGGCGAGCGCGGACGCGGAGATCGACGCCAGTAGCGGGGCGGCGTTGGAGGGGCGGCGCCTGAGACGGGAGGAGGAGCGACACGAACCATCGCCTGCAACCAAGAAAACCAAGAAAAGGTTTTCCGAGCCTGTCACCGAGCCTGGTTCCGAGCCTAATCCGGCATGGCGGTCTGGCACGGCGGGGCGAGAGCGTAACGCGATGACTGCCTGATGGGCCGTACTGTCCCTCCCGTTCTCGCCTCTTCTCTTCGCTGTTGAACCCGCATCTCCTGCAGTGCTGCCGCCGATCGCAGCACCGCCCGACCCCGCTGCGCGCTTGCCCCGTCCGCGCTGCTGATCGCCCCCCACCTCCTCCGCCAAGCGGCCCGACGCCGCGCCGCTCTTCTCCCTGCGCCCGGCGCGCGCTTCTCCCCCCGCGTGGCGCGACGCTCGGGGCTGCGCGGCACTGGGAGACGGAAGCTCTTCCGCGCAGGGGCGCGCGGGGAAGGCGGAAGGCGGGGAGGCGTCGAGCAGCAGCACGGGGAGGTGCTCCCCCCATGCCGCCGTCAGGAGCTCCAGCTCGTACCCCGCCTCCACGCGCGATTCGCGGCGCCAGATGCGGCGCTGGATCCAGGGAGTTGGTTGGCTACTGGCCGCCCCGCTCGTTGCGCATCCGACGGCTGAAAACACGCGCGGACTGAATCCGATCTGCCCGACGGCGAATCCGGGCCGTGCAAACTGCTCCCAAGAATCTCGGTGATGCTAGACGGCCAACAGCATCGCCCGCATTCACCGCCGCTCGCCCCGCTCCCGATTCCTTCTGGGGGCGGCGCCAGGTAGAACCCCCACCCACTTGCACGCGCGTCTGATCCGCGCCCTCGAGATCCGCGCCGCCCCCTCGTCGCGCTCCTTGGTGCGACGCACCTCCTGCCTCGCCGCCATTCTCCCCACCAGCCCTTTTATCTGCTCTCACTAACCACTCCAATTCCCCCTCCTTTCGGGTCTGACCCGATCCCCCCCCGCCCCGTTCCCCCGCTTTTCCCCTTTCCCCTGAACGTCTCCGCCTTTGCTGGTTAGAGGCCACCTGCGCGCACTGGGCTCCGCTCCCCCAACCCAGCCCCCCTTTGCCCCGTGATCTGCCCCTCGTCGCCGCTCCGCGCATCCCAATCGGGCGCCGCCGACGCCCATCCGCGAACGGCGGCGTCGGTCACGGTGTCGTCGTCGGCGCGCGAAACGAGATCTTCGGCCCATGTATGCTGCGGCGCGCGCGTCGGCCGCGATCGCACGCTGCTGCCTCCGACGCGATCCGCGCTGTTGGATGCGGTGGGTGGCTTGATATCGCTGGGCCACCACATGATGACGTGGCGGCGAGAACGTGCGACGACTCTTCCGCCTTGGTAACGCCTTCGCGAAACGCTTCGTTTCAACGAATCCGCGATGCAACAGCAATTACGATTCGTTACCGAATCGCACACCCTGAGATCGCCGATCGTACGAGTGGGGTACTCCACGCGAAAGCCGTCGTAGCAACCAGAATTGACTGCGATCACGGTTCTCAGACGACTTGCATCAGCCTCATTTAGCAGCGATTGGCCTAAATCTAGCTACCGAGTGATTGGCGACTACTGGTCAAAATTTAACTAGCGATGGTCCGATTGGCGACTACTGGCGTGATGATGCTCGATCCCCACGCAACTATCTCGACTCCATTCCCAAGTCTCCATTCCTGTGGTGATTCGTGACGTGACTGTGAGGGCAATAGGCACGGCCTGTCGGCCTGGCGATAGGGCTGGGCTGGGTACCTGGCTCTGCCATGCCTGCCAGAAAAGGCGGGTGGGTGCGGAGCGGAGAAGGCGGGATGGATGATGGAGGTTTGAAAGTTGCGAGGGAAAGGGTGTTGCGAGAGTGTGACAGTAACGCGGACTCCCAGAGACGGACGGACGGATCCCACCCACGAGACGAGACGAGACCACAGTTGGGGGTGCTCCTCGGACCTCAACGGGTCTGTTTCGTTTGCCCCAATGGAGCAGTCGCGCACGACGGATGATAGATCATATAAAATATTACAATGATCGTGGGGGCTATGGCAGGCTGAATTGTCATTAAAACCCGCAGCCTGAATCACAAACCGCTTGGGAGGTGTTAACCAGGGCTGTCGATTGGTTCCAGGCCAACACTTGAGAGTCTGAGGTGCCCGTATTTCAGCCCTGAAATCTCCGGGAAGTGCCCTTTTTCAAGCCTTTAAGCGTCCGGGAAAGCACCCAACCAAAAACTTAAATTCAGGGCTACGCTATAACAATCAGGGCAAGCTCTACATAACAAAAACTATTTAAGGCAGAGTTAATCTACCTATCTACTTTCTCAACACTAATAACTAAGTGGCAGGCTTGCTGCACTTCTCCCCGTTGAAGATCTGGTACACACCTGCCCGGTCCACGTCGTAGTCTAGCATTTTCACGGTCGTAAGATCAGACAGGAAACGGAAAGGGGGGGGGGGGGGTGGGGGGCTGGGCTGTGGGAGTTTCCGGGTAACCGAAAACCTTCGCGGGGATTCAGGGAAACCCTCCAAGAGGCCCCTGTAAGAATCAGGGGAAGGCCCAGCCCACGCCCGTTATCATTCCGGGCTGTACAAAAAATCAACCCTGAGAATCTGGACTTTGGGGCAAAGTCAGACCTTAATGTTCAGGGCATTAAGGCCATATGCCCTTGAATCGACAGCCCTGGTGTTAACACCTTGGGAGCCGAACCTCAGGTTAGCTTTCTTCCCAACCATGGGAGGCCAGCACTTATCGGACCCAAACCTCTCTGGTTACCATGTGTCACTCGCACAACGTACTGAGGTCGTAGGCAGCACAGGTTTGGATCACTCGGGTCTGGGCAACCCAACCTGGGGGACATTTGCCCCGAGTGTGCACACCTTTCTGAAAGTTGTAATTCAGGTCGACAAACTTCGCATAGTTCTTAGCGGACTGGTAGTGACGCCCATAGCTTAGAAGCTAGACATGTCACATGTCACCACCTGTCATCGCTTTTCCGCGAAATTTGCTTCCACCATTCTTCGTTCCCTCTATTGCTCCGGAGTTACGATCCGTCGCCCTAGCTTTCCGATCGCCTGAGTCGAACTTCTGGGTCGCCGCGTCGCGAGCCACGGCCACCCGTAGCTTAGGGTCACCGCCCTCTGGGTCGCCTTCTGGTCGTAGCTGCGCCGCCCTCTCAGCCCATCCCATCGCGTTTTGCGTCGCTGAGTTCTGTTCATGTTACAAAGCGGCATCGCGGCCAAACTGCATCGTCCGCATTCACTCCCCTTCCGTCGCAAACGCTTAGTCCCTCCCGTCGCCCACGCGGAGTCCCCTAGAACAAGCGCGCTCACTCCCCTTCCATCGTATACGCGCACACCCCTCCGTCGCCCACGCTCACTCCCTCCCGTCGCCCACTCTCACTCCCTCCCGTCGCCCACGCTCCCTCCCTTGTCGTCGCCCACGCTCCCTCCCTTGTCGTCGCCCACGCTCCCTCCCTTCTCGTCGCCCACGCTCCCTCCCTTCTCGTCGCCCACGCTCCCTCCCTTCCCGTCGCCCACGCTCCCTCCCTTCCTGTCGCCCACGCTCCCTCCCTTCCCATCGCCCACGCTCCCTCCCTTCCCGTCGCCCACGCTCCCTTCCTTCCCGTCGCCCACGCTCCCTCCCTTCCCGTCGCCCGCGCTCCCTTCCTTCCCGTCGCCCACGCTCCCTCCCTTCCTGTCGCCTACGCTCCCTCCCTTCCCGTCGCCCGAGCTCCCTCCCTTCCCGTCGCCCGCGCTCCCTCCCAATCCCTCACCTCCCCATCCCTGCTGCGGTTGCTGTAAATGATGCGGAAACCGCCTGTGTCCCCCTCTCCGCGTCACCATCCCCGCCTCTCCCCCGTCAACCCCATCCCATCCCCTGCCACTAGGGACGGGGTGGACGCGGGGCAGAGGAGTGTGGGCGTGCAACCTGCCGCAACACCGCTGTCACGGGCTCGTCATCAAGCTGAGTCGGGGGCGCCGCGACGTCGTGAGAGGCACCATCTCCGCCTCACCCTCTTCCGCCCCACCCCATTCCGCCTCACCCCATTCCGCCTCACCCCATTCCGCCTCACCCCATTCCGCCTCACCGCATTCCGCCTCACCCCATTCCGCCTCACCCCATTCCGCCTCACCGCATTCCGCCTCACCCCATTCCGCCTCACCCCATTCCGCCTCACCCCATTCCCCCTCACCCTCTTCCGCCCCACCCCATTCCGCCCCACCCCATTCCGCCTCACCCCATTCTGCCTCACCCCATTCCGCCTCACTCCATTCCCCCTCACCCCATTCCGCCCCACCCCATACCCCCTCACCCGATTCCGCCCCACCCCATTCCCCCTCACCCCGTTCCGCCTCACCCCATTCTACCTCACCCATTTCCGCCCTGCCATCCTACTTCCCATCTTCTTTTCCTCGTGTCCCCATCCCTCCGTTGTCCATCCATCATTCCATCTGCCTCCGTTCGTCATCCTTCCATTCCCCATGCCTACTTTCACCATTCCACCGACTGTCCCCCTATTTCCATACCTCCCTCGCACGCTCCCCTCCTCTCTGCAACCCATCCAGGGTTTCCCTCAGTGGGAGGCTCCTTCTCAGCCACATGGCACCTCCCCATCCCTCTCCTCCCCATCCATCACCTCCCCATCCATCACCTCCCCATCCCTCTCCTCCCCATCCATCACCTCCCCATCCCTCTCCTCCCCATCCATCACCTCCCCATCCCTCTCCTCCCTGCCACCCTTTCTCCTCCCCACCCTCCTCCCCAGCCTCTCTTCCTCCCCTCCCCTCTGCTTCTTCCCAATCGTCCTCCCTTCCTCCCATCATCACTTCATCTCTTCCTTCATTCCTGCATTCCTCACTTCCTCCGTTCCTCCCTTCCTCATCTGCCAGTTGTAATTTTTTTGCATGCTTGCTTCCCTTATACTTCAGCCACGTCACATCTGACTTCTTGGTTTGTGTTTGGACAGGTCTGCTCTGCATCGAGTAACACGACGTAAAGCCATGCCATGTATTGGAACTTATTTTTCTATATAATACTGCATTATGAGCCTCAGAGCAGTCATACACATGACCAATACCAAGGAGTTCAACAAATAATATATTGCCGTATCTGTAAAGCAAGGGGAATCACTCAACTCGAGAAAAGAACAAAGCTAGGGGGTGTGTGTCTAATGTTGCTTCCCGGTTTTGTGCTACACTGCAAGCAATAAACCAGGCTGTGGGAAAGCCACATCTGGTGCTGGGCACCTGTAACTGCATTGGGGGGTATGGGGGTGAGTGAAGGGGGAAAGACAGTAAACGGAATGAGCAGAGGGGAAGAGAAGAAGCAGCGGGGGACAGATTGAACAGAGGGGAAGAGAAGAAGCAGCGGGGGACAGATTGAACAGAGGGGAAGAGAAGAAGCAGCGGGGGACAGATTGAACAGAGGGGAAGAGAAGAAGCAGCGGGGGACAGATTGAACAGAGGGGAAGAGAAGAAGCAGCGGGGGACAGATTGAGCAGAGGGGAAGAGAAGAAGCAGCGGGGGACAGATTGAACAGAGGGGAAGAGAAGAAGCAGCGGGGGACAGATTGAGCAGAGGGGAAGAGAAGAAGCAGCGGGGGACAGATTGAACAGAGGGGAAGAGAAGAAGCAGCGGGGGACAGATTGAGCAGAGGGGAAGAGAGGAAGCAGGGGGGAACAGAATGAGCAGAAGTGAAGAGAGTGAGCATGGGGGAAGAGAGTGAGAAAAGAAGAAGGGGAGGGAGCAAGGGTGAAACAGAGGGAGCAAGGGTGAAACAGAGGGAGCAAGGGTGAAACAGAGGGAGCAAGGGTGAAACAGAGGGAGCAAGGGTGAAACAGAGGGAGCAAGGGTGAAACAGAGGGAGCAAGGGTGAAACAGAGGGAGCAAGGGTGAAACAGAGGGAGCAAGGGTGAAACAGAGGGAGCAAGGGTGAAACAGAGGGAGCAAGGGTGAAACAGAGGGAGCAAGGGTGAAACAGAGGGAGCAAGGGTGAAACAGAGGGAGCAAGGGTGAAACAGAGGGAGCAAGGGTGAAACAGAGGGAGCAAGGGTGAAACAGAGGGAGCAAGGGTGAAACAGAGGGAGCAAGGGTGAAACAGAGGGAGCAAGGGTGAAACAGAGGGAGCAAGGGTGAAACAGAGGGAGCAAGGGTGAAACAGAGGGAGCAAGGGTGAGCAGGGCAAGGGATAGGAGCAAGAAGGGGAGATGGGGGGAAGCAGAGAAGGAGATGGGGGGAAGCAGGGAAGGGGATGTGGGGAGGCAGGGGAGGGGACGGGGGGAAGCAGGGAAGGGGATGGGGGGAAGCAGGGAAGGGGATGGGGGCCCAGGAGGGAAGGGGATGGGGGGAGCAGGGAAGGGGATGGGGGGAGCAGGGAAGGGGATGGGGGGATGCTGGGAGGGGGACGGGGGGAAGGAGGGAAGGGGACGGGGAAAGCAGGGAAGGGGATGGGGGGAAGCAGGGAAGGGGATGGGGGGAAGCAGGGAAGGGGATGGGGGAAAGCAGGGAAGGGAATGGGTGGAAGCAGGGAAGGGGATGGGGGGAAGCAGGGAAAGGGATGGGGGGGAGTAGGGAAGAGGTTGGGGGGAAGCAGGGAAGGGGATGGGGGGAAGCAGGGAAGGGGATGGGGGGATGCTGAAAGGGGATGGGGGGGAGCAGGGAAGGGGTTGTGGGGAAGCAGGGAAGGGGATGGGGGGATGCTGAAAGGGGATGGGGGGAAGCAGGGAAGGGGATGGGGGGAAGCAGGGAAGGGGATGGGGGGGAGTAGGGAAGGGGATGGGGGGAAGCAGGGAAGGGAACATGGGGAAGCAAGGAAGGGATTGGGGAAGCAAGTCGGAGGATGGGGGGAAGCAACGCAGGGGATACAGGGAAACAGGGAAGAAGGGAAGGGTGCATGTGCGGGTTGGAAAGGGGGCGTGACAAGTGTGCGCGATGGGCAGGGCGCAGGGCGGGATGGCGAGGACAACGAGGAGTGGATGGAAGCGCGACGGGGAAAGCGAGGGCGCCGGGGGGGAGAGAGCGACGGAGTTTGCGAGGGGACGAGCGGGAGGGAGGGCGACGAGCGGCAGAGAGGGCGACGAGACGAAGGGGGGCAACGGGCGGAAGGGGGCGCGCCGAGGGGAAGGAAGGGCGGCGGGCGGAAGAGAGCGCGACGAGGGGAAGGAATGGCGGCGGGCGGAAGGGAGCGCGACGAGGGAAAGGAAGGGCGGCGGGCGGAATTGAAGGCAACAGGAGGAAGGGAGGGCGACGAGAGGAAGGGGGGGAAACGGGCGGAAGGGAGCGCGACGAGGGGATGGAAGGGCGGCGGGCGGAAGGGAGGGCGACGGGCGGAAGTGAAATGACGGGCAAAAGGGAGGGCGAAACCGCGAAAGCTTCAGCGACGGACGGAAGCGAGGGCGATGGGCGAGGGAACCGAGGTCGACGGGCGGCGAGGCGGCGAGGGCGACGGGCGGGGCGAGGGCGGTGGGCGGAGAAAGCCTTCTCGACGGGCGAGGGTCGCGAGGTAGGTAAAGCGCTAATTTCTATCTCCTCAAGCCCAATTTCTCCGTGCTTCGATTGCGTACACAAGCTGCACCTACTAATTCCGGTTGTCTGAAATGTGCTTACTCTAAAACCCTAGCTGGTATGTGATGGTCGGATTCTAAAGCGAGTGAATGAGCGACTAAATGAGTATGTTAGCTTGTTCCGTCACACCAGTTTTCTTACTCAGGTCCAGCGCTCTGAGGTTGGTATGTGGTTTGCCTGCGAATTGTTTGCCTCACGGGAGAGTCGCATCAGGTTTCGCTAACCTGGAACCTTTCGCAATTCATCCGCACCTCATATTGCCCGCACCCCTGAACTACCAAACCAAGCGTTGACTCAGTTTTTGTAATTCAGGCTTCGGGTTTTAACGGGAATTGGCTGTGTAGTACAGTTCAAAAACGTGTCTTATAGGGACTCCATAAGAAAAATAAAAAGCAATTATTTTGCTTAGGGTGCGTCAGATCCGTTGTCGGAAAAATCCGGCCGGCCGGAATTAGCGAAAGTAACACATTTGCGACGTTCGTTCAATTTTTCGTGCACTTCGCCATATCCGGCCATTTGTAAAAAAATTGATGGCCGGTTCAGCATTCGACAAAGTTCCGACGGGCAGTCGACTCGAAAGTCGACCAATTTGTCGACCTGAGTTCGCTACAGTGACTACGCGACGTCGCAAGCTCGTGCGACGCAGCGTGTCACACAAATATTGGATCTGCGACTCCGTCGCACAATCCGGCCACCCTGGCGAACTGCTAATCTGACACATTTGCAAAGCGGCCTGCAAATCGGCCACCAAATGTGTCAGATTTTTCGGCCCTGTAAATGTGGCTGGATATTGGTCGCTTTTGAAGTCGACCCTGTTGTCGACTTTGGCGAAAGATTTAGTCGACCAAATTGTCGACCAAATTCCAGCCAAATCACCTCGTAACGGATCTGACGCACCCTTATAGAGCGCTTTGATAGTAGCATAGCACGCACAGACAGTAAGTTTTTAGCACTAAGTGCACTTCTCGACTCTTCTGTCTGTCCCGTCTTTATGCTTCTTCCTCTCTCTTGCTTCTCTTGCCTCCATTTCTTTCCCGTCCTCTGCCCACCGCGTTTCCCGCTTCTAGTTTCTTTCATGTCCGCGCCGTCCGCTCCTGCGCTTACTTTTGACAATAGTTACTAAAGACTGTCTTATCCTGCACGAAGACCGTGCGACGTACTTCCCTTTGGAGTGGCGGCTTTATTTCTTCCTCGTCGTCTTGCTATCTTGCTTCTCTGACGTTCCTTCGCGTTTTCGTACTT